TATGTAAATAAATCAAGTTCCGAAATGTATAAAAACAAAAAATTTTTAACTAAACATTGTTTGTTAAATTTTTGAATACAGTGTTTGTTGTGCGGTTATCAAAACATGAAATTCAAAAATCCTTGACATTAATTTCACATACGGACATACGGTACTTATAAAAATAATCAAATTAATTATTATATTAGTAAAATTAAAAAAGAAAAAAACATCGAAAAGTTCAAATTTTAGGACGTCACACATCTTAGAAAATATTTTGTAAGTTGATTCATTTAAATAATATGACAAGAATTTTATACATACTTTCACACTTACATAAAAATTTGATTTTATTATATACATATGTAACATATATACGTCATTTATATTTAAATAATTAGAAATTAGAAAACACGTCATAATTATATTGATATTTTAATATATTTTAGTATGTTAATCTTATGTATTATACATATAAAAACAAGTAAAATATCGTTTCTCTTTCAAACTTATAATTCTACAATTGAGACAGATATGTATCTGTCTATTGGCCTCACATAATGAGCCAGCTAAATAAAGTATATTTTTTGAGACGTGTGTATACTTACAGTTATAAAAACTCAGTTATGGTTTTTAAAATACAATTTAAAATTAGCTTTTTGAATTGTATAACAACTACCCGAACCATAAAATATTTTATCCGATTCCATACCAAAATTCTATAGAATATATTTCTAGTATATAAAATCTGAGCTGTTATTTAATACATAATTGCCTAAATTCCATTAGAAAATCAACCTTTTTAGCTTTCAAAATATTTAAAATAATACTTTTTAATTGTATATGTTAGCAACCCGAATCCGTTGTTTTAAGAATTTGTAACAATAAATTATTAAAAAAAAAAATTCATTTTATTTTGTGTCTATTTACTATTGTAATTTCATATCCTCTGAGGGGCAAATAATGAATTTAATCGAATTCTACCGTAAATTACAATTATACAAACAAATTTCAAATCGAAAATGTTACCGTAGTATTTTACGTAGTCTTTGATAATATTCATAAGGGGTGCGAATTTTTTTTTCTTTTTGATAAATTTCTGTGTTGAGTCATTCTAAATTTTATCAGTCATCATTAAAATATACTTAAACAGTTAGTTTTTTAAACGGCTTTAAATTGACTTTGTCATCTCTAATTATAAATTTTAATTAATAGGTATATAATTTATATATACATTTTTAATATTTCGAAATTATTTCAAAATTAATATGGTATAAATATGAGAATTTTAAGAAATTTTACCAGGTAATTAATTTTAATTTATAATAACTTGTATGCATATATATATATTCGTATATATATATATATATATAATATGTAAAATATTATTTAGAATGAATCAGAATTTAAATTTCTTTTATTTTTGTATTTTTTTTTTAAATATTTTAAATTATCATTTTTTAATTTAACTAAAAAGACAAAGCTTTGATTACTCAATAATCAAAATTTTAAAATGTCATCCTATACAAAATTATATGATATGCACATAAATAACATATATACGTACAGAAAAAATATCATACATACATTTTATTATTAATTTGTAACAAAATTTTTCATAATAATCAAATTATGTTTGAAATTAAGAGAAAATTATCTGTAAAAGAGCGAAAACTATACTTTTATGATTTCGTCGAATTATTTTGTCTTTTTTTTTCCATTTTTTAAAATAATAAAATTTTAGGTACCTAGCTTGGAAATTATTCTAATTTTTCAGTTTGCTTTTTTTATAGATTTTATTTCTCTTAAATTTAGAAAAAAAATATTAATTAGAGGTTACTTAAAAAATATAAATTTGAGGTTAATATAAGTAAATCAAATTCTTTTGTGGTGAATATAAAGTATGCAAAATTTAAATTTTTAGGAAAATTTTTTTTTTTAAAGTTTTTTGATATTAAGGGATTTATAAGCTGGTGGGACAGTGTTGTCGAGAACCATAGTGTCACACTTCTTTGGGTGTCGGATCACCATAATTTAGTGGGTTTGGCTAAGCCATGGATATTTAAGGAGCGGAACAGAATTTTGTTCTCATCAACATAGTAAAAATGAATATATGTACATATGTATATAGACATTATCTAGACGACCGCAGGGGAGAAAGCCCTGTTAACATGTGGAATGTCAAAAAAAATGTGGCCAAAATGAAATCTAAGAAAATCGGCTTTGCTTCTGCAGATGTTTCAGGAAAACTTTATCTGCCTGTCGGCAGTCTACCCGGATCCCTGGTCGTTGAAGTAGCATGCTGTTAGACTAGAATTGCCCTTCAATACAACATACGAGTATTGCAGCTGCCGGGAAATACACAAGAAGGAGAATATTTTTCCTAAAGACAATCTCTTCGAGTATTCGGCTCTGGCCGGCATAAAACTGATCACGTGTGGCGGGGCTTGAGAAGATATTGAAAATTGGCATCGAGAACTTTGATAGATTCCTCGTGAGAACCGGATGGCTTGAATAGATCACCCATAATCGTACGCTCAGTGACGGTCAAGAGGATCTTAGGATAGTGGTAGCAAAATGTGTACATTTATGCTTAATTGGAGCACGGTGGATCTTGTACACAGGTCATATCGACCGCAATGTTATTATTTTAAGTTATTTAATAAATTTAAAATATAACTGTGATTGTAATTTAAGTAAATACAATATGATTCATTGATTTTAATATAAGTATATAGGATCTTATACAAATATAAAAACTTTTACTAAACTATTTTGAATTAATTTATATTGTAAAACATTTAATATTTTAAAATTTATTTTAATAAACACATATTTATTTTAGTTTTTTCTTTTTTTTTGTTTTTTTAAATTTTATTAAATACATATATAATATTAAAAGAGCCCCTTTCATTTATAAGTATTCAAGTGTGTTCTATATGTCCGAATATTTTTTATGGATTTGCAGAAAATTTTCCATTAAAACAAATAACACATAACCTTAATTCTAAATGTTTTGTATAACATCTAGTATGCACACGTATAAATTTATAGTATATTATTATTTGTAGAATATTAACATTTGCCGGTTAATCATTTATTTTTATTTTTTTCATATGCGGTTATAACATATAAATAAAAAAGAATTCGCGAGAAAAAAACGCGAATGAAAAAAACAAAAAACATGAATGATGCGACAATGAATGGCATACATACTTCACACGTTATGTGGAAAAAGTATAAATATATTTTTATTTTTCTATTTGTAAATGAGAAGAAAAGAAATTTTACTTGAATTTTTTTTTTTTGAATATCCAATTAAAAAAATAATATAAATTAATTTTTCATTAATTCAAAATTTTATTATAAAAGTAATTTCTATTAATTTTTAAAAGTTATCAAATATTTTATTAAATAATTTAATTTAAATGTGATATACAGAAGATTAATTTTATAATTACACAATGGAACAACATTTTGCGAGTGGCGCTGTTTTAAATTAAAAATATCCTATTAGTTACTAGCGCCCTTCGAAATAGTAGCTTCCTGTGCAATTACAAAAATTCTGTCTTCTGTACACTATGAATTATATATACACAATGATTAAGTTCAGTTTATTTTGTATTTAAATAAAATATTTTTATTGAAATTTTAAAATCATAAAAGCGTACGAATATCTAATTGAAATAAATATAATATACTTACTTTGTACGTTTTTAAATAATGGAACTGATAATGAAAGAAATTAAAATTAAAATGACACAATAAAATTTCCCACGAACACTAATAATATTAAAAACTTTTTTTTTTTTTTATTTATTTTTCCACTTATACTATACTGATTTAGTTAGTTTGCAGATATTTTCGATCTGACCGCGTTGAATGGCAGATTTATAATGATCTATATAGGCAAGATATTTGATAAAAGTTAAATTCTTGATGGTCAACTACTACTACAGTTTAGTAAAGTTTCTGTGCTGTGTTGTGATTTTAAGAAGCTTTTTGTATAAGAGAACTTTTTCTCCTTTTCCTTCCGTCTCTCCCTTTTTTATATTTCTCTTCAATACATTCGTAGCATGTGATATGATTTTTTTTTATTTGTAGTTGTATACATTTTAATATATTTATATCATATATAAAAATAAATATATATGTATATGTATTTATGGATTTATGTAATATATTTTGTTGTTACATATTTATATTATCTATAAATACGTAGTAATAATCTTAAGCGATAGTTACACGCTGTGAGTAAAACGTTTAGATATAAAGATATTTTTTTTTGTTTTTTTGAAAAAGATTTAATATTAGGCATGTATGAACGTATATATGTCTAATATTAAATATATAATATGTATATCTATAGGACCTCGTTACATCGACACATAGGATCTTTTGTGAATCCCATCCCCACTCACATTAGCAGTAGACCTAGGTAACTGACAAATTTTAGTGTATATAGTAGCCACTTTAAGTCACGAGACAGTCATCGAAGCATCTTAGTCGTAGGGAATGCACCAAAGAGAGACGGCAGACCTTGCCTGGTGGCATAAATTTGTTGGAATGAAATAGACTTGGGAAATTATTCCAATAATCGATCCTGACTCGTTTCTCCTAATCATTCAAAAGCGCAGGACTATTTTCCTCGGCACAACAAAGCATGGAGTCACACCAATTATTATTTACCCATTATGTAGCAAACACAATATTCACTGAGAATTGCCATATGAAAGTTGATTTTACTATATAACGATAACTTTCACGTTGTGTCTCTATAGACATGAATTTGTCTAAAGTGGCTTCGTGTAATATTTTTATTTGCTGGATAACTACAATAATATTTTGGAATGCATTTTTTTAAACAATAACATTTTTTAAGTAATTTGTAACTTTATGAAAAAGTTGAAAATGATTTTAAATAAAACAAATTTTCAATAATGGACGTACTAAATTTTAATAATTTAACAGTTTACAGGCTTAGAATTAACTATAATTCGGACGTATCCTTTTACAAAAATTCTTTTTTCACATAATTACAAATCTAAAATATAGAAAAATATCAAAAATTTATTTTAGTGATTATACAACTAATGATCTTGTTGATCCTATTGAATAATCCTGTTGATGTTTTCTTAAATTGATTACTTTTTTGTTAAGCTAAAATATAAAAATAAAATAGTAATTAATTTTTCAAAAAACTGAAATATTTGTAAAATGCTTTAATTTTAAAAATTTAGAAATTAAATTAAAAAATAAATGTTGATAAAATGTCAGATGTTAAGTTTAACTCGTAAACAAGAATGTTTAATAATTAAAAATTATTCGACAAAAATAGGTCGAATTCTAGTTTAGGTTTCGTTTTAGTAAAGAAGTTTACTTAAATTGATATCTTATGAAGACAAGTACTTATTGATTTACCTTAGAAAATAAAATGATTTTTATTAATTTAATGAAAACTTCTTCATACAAAGGCAGAAAAATTAAAAAAATTTTTTCCCTCGAACTGGACTTGAACCAGTGACAATACCGCTTTCTAGGCGAACTTTCTATCAAATCAGCTACAGAGTTATGAAAAAATTACCGGCAAATTGTTCATCACATTACTTTATACTATATGTAAAGTATATGATTACCAAGCAGTATTTTTACTTGTTGAAAGGAAAAGTGCTACTTTACATCATCGCTTTGGCCCAACTTTATTTATATTAAATTAAATTAAATTTCCATAAGTTTACTAAAGAAGTAAATATTTTGTTTATAAGAACTGTTAAACTTGCAACCAATAGTACATATATATAACATATATATAAAGATTTTCATAATTTTATAAAACTTATAATTAGTTTTACTTACATCATAACAAGCAATAAGTGTAATATATAGCACAATTATAAAAAAAAGTTTTATAAATAAAATGCTAATAATTTCAAAAAATTTATGATGACCCGGCAATTCAATATTTTCAACATTATCATCTGTAATTAAATTAATAAAATATTTCTTATATTTTTGTTTTTAATTCTTATATTTAAAATTATTTTTACCTGTATCAAATTTTAAAAAGAAATATTTTTGTAAAAGTAATTTATCGTCAGTGTTATTCGCCGAATTCAATGTGCAATAATACAATCCACCATCATTGGATTTCGTTACATTTGTAATTTTCATAAAAGATATTAAAATTTTATCCTTGTAATTTGTACCAGTTTCAAATCTTGTATTATCAATTCTGTCAGGATGTTTCCATGAAATTGTTAGATCATCATTTTTATTCTCGGTAATATTAAATTCACATTTTAAAATGATTTTTTTACCTTCAGTTATATTCATAATTGCAACTATATTTGTATATATATTATATATATATACAATAAATAATATGAAATTTTTAATTAATTATAATATACAATTAATTTAGTTTAGTTTTTAATTTTAATTAGAAAAAAAAAATAATTATAAACTAATAAATATTCGGTTGTATATGAAGTTAATTAATCCAAAACCTTATTAATATTTTGTTATAATACTAAAAAAAAAAAAAAACAAAAACCTTAAGAGCATAACAAATCTTCAGTACTTCCAAAAATGTAGAATTTCTTTGAGATAGAAGTGCCCGCCGAGTTGAAGTTTATTGAAGGGAGAAATTGAATTTTTAAGATCTTTATCATATGTATATCCCTATAGGTGTCTAGTATAGAAGATGACTTGTATAACAATTGATCGCCTAATTATATAGCTAATTCATATTTAAAAAACGAACATTTGTTTGCACATATCAAAATGGGTCAACAATTTCTCCTAATTTTTTCGTTAGCTACAGAATGAGTTAATAATTGCAAAATACACCGGATCGGAATTTCTTTTACTAAAGTAATAATATGAAAAATAGAAAAAAAGAACCTCTCCTCATTTTCCTATCAGTTTGTCAGAATTATGAATTCTATGTATATATCTTATAACGTGTTCCATTTGCTGTTTGAACACTTACTTATTTTTTAATAAATATTTTTAATTAGAAATGATCAATCCAATATTCATGGCACTTTCAATTTTTTTTTTATAGTTTTTGAGAATTTTTTATTGGAACTTTTCTAATTTTTTTTAACAGAATTCTTAAAATTCAAAAATTACATGGAATAGTCTGGGCTTAAAAGTAACAAAAATTTTAATTAAATTCACTAAAATATCGTTCTTCTGATAATTTTTTAAAAAAAATAATCTTTTCCATAATTATTTATGTAAGCGAAATAAAAATAAATTAAAAAAAAAATATGAACAAAAAACCTATTGTGAGCAAAATATGAAAACTGTTTTGGAACTTAAGAGGATCTTATTGTGAATTTACAATACAATGTGTTTTTCCAAGACAATGAAGTGATATGAAATATCACAATAGTGTAGTAGGGCAGGTAGTATACGAATTATCGCCGAGTTTAATTTCTTAAAGCTATATATTCTTACAATTCCGAATGATAATGCCATTCGCCCTTAAATTGCATTAAACAGTTAAAATTTTCAGTATACGATATGTATATTTGGAATATCGGTAAATAAATCGCAAGGGATATGTTTCAAATTGTCAATTGTTTATCGTATTATATTACCTACATTCTCATATAGGAAAACTATCAAAATTTTCAATATTTATTTATGTGCCCACAAATCAAAATTAGAATTGTTGTGTATAATATAAAAAAAAGAATTCACAAACAACTTTTTACATTCTTATTTATTCAAATTTGAAGTGAACTTTATTCAAGTTTGAATTGACTAAACTAATGTTTTTTAACCTCACTTAGCAGGACAATCCTGACGTAGATTTTGTTTTTCATGATTCAAATTGTAGACGTTTTGTTGGGAATAGGGAGCTTAATGTGAATTCAGGTGATACTTTCATTTGCAGTCCTGAGTGTTTTTGTATTGAAATCCATAGAAAATTTAATTGATCGCAACATACTTCCAAGCTAAAATCATATTTCCGCTCTACATCAAGACATTTCTGTCAATTGAAGAAGTTATGTTCAGTAGACGTGCTTAAAATATTTTACTACGGTGTTTTTTATTCTAAGTTGCAGTACAGCATGAGTTGCCGGGACAGGGGGCACTTACAGAAATACAAAAATTAACCCTCTTTTGATATTGCAAAAATCTGTCATCAGGAATATATCCGGCATGATTATAGATATTCTCATAACATAGTATTGTTTAGATCTTTAAAAATTCTTCTGGTTAGACAGCTTTCTCATAACATAGTATTGTTTAGATCTTTAAAAATTCTTCCGGTTAGACAGCTATATAATAACAAAATATTGAAAATTTTTTTTACGAGAGTTGGCTATTTTAATAGTAGGATTTCTAATGCCTATGGCTTGCGTTCTAATCAAAGGTTTTTTGTAATTAATCCAGCATATCGAACTACAAACTATCGGAACTTTTATGATATTGTGTCTTCTCGTTTGTTTAATATGTTACCTGTCATCAATATGTTTACTTAGGCGTAAGAACATTTTCCTAACAAAAAGTAAAATATTGGCTTTTAAACTGTGACTACAGCGAAATTGAGAGTCTGTTATTAACTTTAGCATAATCATATATTATATTTTGTTCAGTTTCTATTATTTCTTGTTTTTTTTAAATATATATGGCATTAAACACTTGTTCCATGAACTTTTTTGCTTTTTCTTATTCTTAGTGTGTATATTTTACAATTAAATCAAAATTTGCTTTTTTCATATATAAGATTTTGTAATTAATGATTATCTAAATTAAAAATTGCAGCTATACTACATTTAATAGGAATTATTTTATGTTTAAGAATTTGAATTCAAAAAATTTATATGTATATTATTAATTAAACTTTATATGGTTGTAATTTAGTTTTGTATTTAGTATGGAGATGATTAATTGTATTCTATTGACTAGAATGAATAAAGTTTATTTACTTACTTACTACTAAATATTTTATCTATTGTGTCAAATTTTGAGTATTGGAATAATAAAAATTTTAACTCTTCTATTATTATCGTAAATATTTACTGTATTTAATTATAAATAATATAACATTACTTACCAGGAGTGTTGAGGCAATATTTCATTGAAAATAAAAATGTTAAGAAGAATATTATCTTGAAAGCTTTCATTCTTATTGACTCTTAATTAAAATATTTTCTCTTAAATTTTGTTTTCTATTTAATTTTTTTTTTTATTGAAATACTTTTTATAGGTTATGTCCTAATATTGTTAAGTATAAAATTTAATTATTTAAATTATTTGAACTTTATTCTTACAATTTTCATTTGTAATTTTAAATAATTTATTTTCAAAAAAACAAAACCTTAAGGTTTAAAAACTATTCAATTTTTTTTTCTTCCAAATATATATTATAATATATAGATTTAATTTTCCTGAGAGAATTTAAATATGATTCAGATATTTTTATATTAAATTCTTAAAATATTTAAAATATTTAATTATTCAATTCACTCAATCGTCGTATAAAGATTTAAGCTTAACGAAAAAAAAGTGGGAGCTTTAATGATGAGAAAAAAATAAGAGAAAAACTTGTTTGTCATTCAACTTTTATTTTTTAATTTTTTTTTTTTATTATGTGGCTATTCACAATATTTTTATTTTTTTTTTTAAATAACAAATTTATAATTTTATTTTAAATTGAAATTTACTTATGTAAAAAATTTATTAAAAAAATATTCCAAATTTTGTTTATTTTTTCAATTAATTCTATTAATTTTTAATTATTTTTTTTACCATTTATTTTTATTACATATTTTTTAATTATCTTGAAAATGATGTGTGTAAACTGTAATCTGTATACGCACAGACACTCAAATAGAAAGTATTTTTAAATGACATTTTGTTTTTTTTTTTATAATTTTTTTGAGAGTATATTTTAGTTTGACAACTCAAATATGACTAAATCTTAATAATATTAAGTCCATTTTTCTCTCTTTCATATTCATACAAAAATTATTTTTAAAAAGATGGTTATATAAAAAGTGATGCCGTTTTGTTTTAATATACTAAGAGGAATTTTTAAAATTTCAGTAAAAAATGAACTATTTCAATATTAAATTTTCTTTTTAGCAAATTAAAGATTAAATTAATAATAAAGAGAAAAATCAATACATTTTTGGTTTTTTTTTTGACAAATTTGGCAAATACAATAGCAAAAGTTGATTATTTTTATCTTTTACAAATCTTATTTTTATATTCTTACATAATTATTATTTATAATTATTATTTAATTATTTATAATTAATTAATTTTATTTTATTACTTTTTCTTTCAAATGATTTTTTTTTTGTTCAAGTTTATTGTCGTGTATCTGGCTTCTTTATCTCACTTTTTATATAATTTCAAATCAGAATTCTCAGTAATCAGAAGATTACTCAAATTTTTGTATTTTTTTATTGAATTATCAACTGAATGAAAAATGAATAAATATTGTATATGTTTTAGAATGAAAACAAGGTAAACGTAATACGGAATAATTTTTCTAACTCGAAAATTACATTCGAATACAAATATATTGTAGTATACTCAGTTTTTTCTCACTTGGCGAATAAAATAGCGAGATACACGATCACACTTTTAAAATTATGAATTCAAAATCCGTGTGTGTGTTTTTTTGTATAATTAAATATTATTTATAGTAAAGCGGAATCTAGTGAAATTTTTATTTCTACAAGAAGGCAACACTTGCTATATAATGAAATAAATACTTTTTTTTTTTAAATGTTGAAATCATCGTTCGTACTCAATTCATATTACCATATTGTAATTTGACATTTAATTTATTTTGTTACTATTGAAATTTTTTTTTTATAATTTAATTATTTCAATTATAATTCAAATATAAAGATTTAAAATCGGTTTTTTTTTTGTTTTTATTTGTTTTTACTGCAAAATTAATCTCAAAAAGTACCGGATGATTTTATATTATTTTAAAATTTTGCAACTTATCAAAAGTGTAACAATGCGGGATTTTCGATAATTCAGATATGATAAAACTTCACAATTTATATGTACAATTTTCAAATTTTTATTTATAGAATATGCTTTATATTAAGATCAAAATTAAAACCGAATTTTCGAAAATCCTCAAGTTTACATTAAAAAATTTTAAACGAAATCATGGTATTGAATTTTATGAATTAAATATTTGCAAATTAATTTCAATTGAAATGTTAAATTTAATATTTGAACAATTAATAGTAAAAGTACAAATAAATAAATAAATTAAGTCAATAAATTATAAAAATTAAATTAATAATATTTACCGACCGCATTACATACAATAACGGAGATTATGTAATGGTATCAAATTTTTCATATCGAATTTTCGACAGAAATGTACTTTTCCGTGGTAGGGAAGCGTAATTAAATTATTTTTAGACAGATGTCTGTCTGTATTTATCTGTTTCTCTCAAGTTTGGCAGAAATGAGACGTTTGTCTGTTAGTTTGTATGTCTGTAATTGTCTGTTGTCTCAAGTTTGCCTGGAATGATTTTCACGAAAATTGTATCTGATGTTTATATTAAGGATGAAACGGTTTGATCATATTTTGAGATATGTCAAATTTCTGAAACTAGATATTTTTAAGAAAACAAGCCGATTTTCCTGGAATTTTATATATAAGCTTCGTCATGATGTTAAAACAATAAACTTTTAATTTTTTTTGTTGGACTATCAGAGCTCGGAATCCGAACTAGGGGCCGATTATACATTTTTTATCATATCTAAGACACTAATCGACTGAATTTCTTAAAATTTTATACTTGAGTTCTGTGTGTTACCGGAAGTAACTGACGAACATTTCAGAGAATTCAGATAGTATAAAGCTAATCTCTGCTAAGAGTCAAATTTAAGTTTTTTTTTTGAGTATAATATCTCAAACTTTGCCATAGCGTTGTTAATATTTGAAGGAAGGCATTTTCGTAATTTTTGTAAACAATTTGGTTAAACTAGGCAATATACATTGCGGTCGGTTATATGCTGATCACTTTACAATTTTTTTTATTAATGATGATGTAAGTTTAAATTTTAAATATTTAAATATAAAAAATTTTTATAATAATTCATAATAATTCAAATATTAAAAAACTTAAAATTATATACATATATGAAAAGTAAAAAAAATAATTTTTTTTTTTTTTTTAATTATTGTAAGCCAATTAAAATTTTGGTTTTTATATTTGATAATATAACAAAGTACTGTAATATAAGTACTGCAGGTACTGTAGTGTAGGGGTTTTCTTTATATTATTATTGAATTAAAATAATAGAATGTTGCACATTGGGCCATCTATATTTATTATAGTGTGATGTAATATTTATAGGAACATGATTAGGAATTTATTTTAAAAGAAAAATTTTTTAAAAATATAAGTACATTATCGTTAACAAATATTGGGAATATTGAAAACCTGTATCATTGATTTTTTAATACATAATATAAATGTATATGTGTGTATATATTCATTATATGTGGTAGAAATATTTGTATTTCTGTGTAATAAAATTTTGTGCAACTATATATGTATATAATATTTATTTGTAAAAAGGTCAAATTATTCTATAAACTTTTTTTATGATTTTTCTTAACTTACATAAAGCGTTTCATCTGATTTTTGTAAAATTAAATGTCTATATTAAATTTATAAACATAAAAAAAATTTAAAGAAGTTAAACTTAATTTTCTCAACTTAATCATATAGTAGAAAGTCTTCGCTTTCTTGATTCACGTGGCGTTGACGGTATCAATTCGGCTGTTTCTTTAACTTCAGGTGTTTTATTCCTTGAAGACGTTTTATTTACTACCGACGTTTCATTACAATCATTTTGGGTATTAAGAGGAATTTGTTGTTGAACGTTATTATTTTTTATTGTTGAATCAGCATTATTACGCTAGATTTATTAAAATGGAATTTAATAGACATATTTATAAAAATTTAAGTGTAAAAATTCTTACGTTCTTATAAATTCTTCTACAGCATAGAAATAATAAATAACATATTAATAACAAACAAATTGCCAATAGTGTTCCTTCAACATACCACCAATTGAAAGTTGATTCTGTTACAAAGTTTAATTTAATTTAAGGTGTTTTATTTATATTTATGTAAATATTTGTGTGTGTATAGGTTCTTGAAAGTATAATTTATTTTGTTATTTTTAATTTATTTTGTTTATTGTTCATACTTATAAAAATTAACTAATTTAGTTAATAATTAATTGATTAACATTAACTTAGTTATTTTTATAAATAATTTTAATTTTTAAATGTTACAGTATATGGGTAAGTTAATATTATTATGAATTTTAATTGTTAATACATGTAATATATACGTACATAACCTCATTACGCTATTTTATGAATCTGTATTAAAATAATATAAAAATTATATGCATTTTAAATAAATAGAGAAACTAATAAAGCATTTTCACTTATAAACAATTCCATAATTATAATATTTTGAGCACAATAATAAAAAATAAATATGCATATAAATTGTAATATTTAAGAACTAAATTGCCCAATATTTAATATAATTATTAAAAAATCCGAAATATAACAAAATGTCAAGACTATTAAGTAGATACTTGTATAAGATGTATAAGGTACCTCCAGATAACAAAGCCTATCGGGTAATATATTACTTTCACTCATATAAGAAAATATTTCAAAGATTGCATACATTTAGGATGAGGTGAAAAAAAAAAAGAAACAAAAGAAAAATTGAAAGAGTCATTAACATATTGCTAAAATTTAAATATTAAATGCCTGAGTTTAGAGAAGTAATTATATTTTTTAATGGTATGGCATTTGTCGTTAGCTTTCTGCATTTACAGATTTTTGGAAAAGCTTGCAGTTTCGGAAATATAAGGTGCAAAAAGTTCAAATTTTACAAATTTCGGGAGGTGATAACTTGAGAGGAGTTCGGTGGAAAAAAATTTTCTTCTAACGAAATAAACTAGACGGTGTTTCATTTAACGGTGGTATTTTTTTCTAGCTGAAAACAGAAAAATACTGTTATAAACAGAAATTCTGTTTTCAGGTCATTAAAATTCTGTTAATAAACAGAATTGTCGTGTTTTGTTGCGTTAATTACAAATTTGAAGACTTACATATTTAAGTATCGTATTTAGTGTTATTCTTAGCGTAAATGAGTACGCATATTTTTACTTATTCATAAAGTTGCGTGGTAAAAGTTGTATAAGAAGTATATTTCTTAAAATTAAGCGTTAAAGTTACATTTTTAATGTTTTTTACACTATTTTGGGCTTCAATTTTTTTCGAAACTTGAAAAATTTATTAAAGAATTCAATAAACCTTAATAGATGTTTCAGGTGTGACAAAAATAATACTCAAAAAAACAGCCATATGTTAGAAAACGATAAATCCTGAAAAAATTATTTGAAAAATTTTAAAAAATTGCTTCATTATTATTATTATTTAATGGTTTTTTTTGGCTTTTAATACCCTTTTGGATTTTATCAAGGTATTCTAATTAATTTACATAAATTACTTTACAAAATTTAATATATTTATTTTTAATTGCTTCATTAAATGTGTAAAATTATTCTGTTTTGAAATTTCATATTTAGTTACTATATGATTTTCAATTTTTCTAATTTTGCCAGGAGTAATTTAAATACATATAGGTCACACGAATTTTAATGAGGTTTATTTTATAAGTGTTAAAATTTTTCCCAAAATTATGTAACTTTTATTATAATGTACCGAAAAGCGCAATTTTCTAATGATTTGTTGAAAAAACTTTAATTTTTGAAAATTAAATTGAACCATTTTGAATTCTTAATGGTTTAATGGCTTATCTTATCTTTATTACTCCGATATACTTTATAATAGTTTGATTGACATGTAAATAAAAGCAAGATTACATCTAAATAGTGACATAATAATATTTAATACAACAGCGCTGTATATGTTTTTTTTTTGTTGACAAATTAATATATGTAAATAAATCCAGAGTTGGACATAATATCTTCGAATTAGTTTAAATAAACTTTGTATTTTTTTTCAAATGGAAATATTGTAAAAAATTATAGAAAATTGCAGTGATGCAGTAAATGAGATTAATTTGTAACAAAAATGAAAACACTATAGAGAGGAGGCAAAGAATGCCGAAATGAACAAGTAAAAGTTTTTCCATTTCAAACGAAAATAGGTTAATTGTTGCATAGTTATTTTGTATACAAATGTGTTTTAAATGTATGTATATATTATGTATTTATATTGTAATTTGAAAATTGACTTACTTAAACTTGTTTCAGTTTTTTCAACTGTCATATAAAAAGATTGTTCTGCAATAAGTTCTCTTTTATAAAAGAATTGGCACTTGTAGAGACCTTCATGTAACCCACTTACTTCAGGGATTTCCAAATCACAAATCAAAGTTGTCAAATTATCTGATATTGATGGAATATCGTGTATATCAACCAATTTATTTTCTTCAATAGGAAAAACCCAATTACAATCTATATAACCCTTATTTTCGATATGTTCTGGATATTCAATAGGAAAGGAGTAATTTAGGTAAAGGGGTTTTCCTTCTTGAACAGATAAATCTTTTCTGGTATGCACTGTTGAAAATATTAATTTATGAAATCAATATTAAATTTTTTAATTTTGAATTAATAATTTAATATTTATAGTAATGTTTCAAAAAATTTATTGTATATCGTATATGTTACTTCATATAAATGTTAATTAACTAATCAACTACATATATATATATATAAGGAAAATAATATTGAAAAATCAAATTTAAATCCTTATATTAATCATAATATAAATGGTAAAAAAAGAAAGAAAAAAATAAGTTTTCCTTATGTTTATTTGTTTTGAATTTAAATGGAATTTTGTGAAAATTTCAACTCTAATGTGAAACGAAAAGTAAAACGAGAGGTAAAATACAGTGACACTACATTGTCAAACAAAAACAAAATTTTCGTTTCATATTTCTTAAAATATTATTGAAATAAATATTAATTTTTAAAATTAACTTTAAAATATCATTGAAATTAATAAATTAAAAAATATTTTATTTAATTTTTGTTAATATTTTATTTGAATTTACGCATACTTACAATGATAAGCTCCAATGATTTCAAAATATAACATTGAAAACCCATAAAAAACAAATATAGTTCCTATTAAATGCATTGTGAACTGATTTGATTACGGTATTTATTTATTAAAATAATTTTATCATAGATCCTCATTCTGAAATTTAAATTAAAAAATGAAATTGAAAATTCTTTAAATTTTAATATTGATAAGAAAAGAAATTTTCAATAGTTTTAAAATTGTATAATATACTCAATTTTTGGAAATGTCATTTATTTATTTATTCAATTATTATATCTAAAGAAAACGCATATTGCTCTCATGCTAAGACACTCTATACAGTGTAATACCACTTACATATTATTTATTTATTATAAAATTCAAAAACTATACATTTAATAATTTTAATATTAGATATTATAAGAAAGTAGGAAACTCTAATTCTGTACCGAAAAAAAAATAGTATAGGTAGAAAAATAAAATTTACAACTCTATGAGTCCATGAATCACAATATTTCTTTAACATTCTATTAAATACACCCAATTCTGTTTTTACACGAATTTGAAGTAAAACGAGTAAACACCAAAAAATATTTCTATTTTTAGACGACATAATTTGAAATAACACGAATACAAAAAAAATTTTTTTTTTCTACTTAAAATAAGCCGTGTATTCTGATGGAATCAGTTGCTGTTACTGTTCGAATAATTATGATTAATAAACAGTGATTTTGTAGTCTTTCACAAAGGTACACGTTTGTTTTAAGACAGTGACAATAAATGAAATTGTTTAATGTTTAAATTTTTCTTATGGTTGTACTCTTATTATTTAAGTTTTTACACGAATTTCTCGGGAACCATTCTATCGTTTAAAAAGAGAATTAATAGTAATTCCTTTTTAAGCTATGCATAAGTGTTGCTATGCATAGGCGTTGCCGTTCCATAGTATACTGTATTTTTACGGTTCAATTGTATGCAACCTCTATTTCTCGTATTTATCGTATGTATTGATTCATTTCTTCGAATTAATCTAGTAGTAGGGTGAATTTGCGATTTACTTAAATCATGTATATGTAGAATTATTTTAATTTTTATTAAATTCTATGATTTTCTGGTTTAGGACTTTCCAGGTCATATTTAACTGGCAGGATATAGTGAGTCAAAATAGAAAATTAGGAGGGGTTTTCCTAAGTAATCCATCTTTTGACCGAACCTCTTTAAAATATACATCGCCGACCTATCCCATATGAATATAAGGGGTTCACTGCAATTGTATGCAAATGATGCAGTCATAATGTATTTGGCAACCACGGAGGCTGAATTTAAAAGAAATTTTAAAAATTACTTGAATGTTATTAATTGATGGACTACCAAGAGTAAATTGATTTTGTATATTGGAAAGGCTAAACTTCTATTTTTATAGGTAATAAACTATATTCTTCAGAACAATTTCATTTTAGGAGCGAGATATTTGAAACAGTTTATTGTTTTAATTATCTGCGTTTAGTTATTGATAGAAAATTAAAATGAGTTAACCATGCGCATCATATCATCAATAAAATAACACCTTATCTCTTCTTATTGAGAACACTGTGCAATTATATTCTCCGCTAGCGCTCTTCATGCAATATTCATTTATAAAAAAATTAAAAATATACAATATAGGTGAATTTATTAATTAAAAAATATTTATTTATAAAGTTACCAATTGTATATCTCAATCCTATATGGAATGTTTCTAGTTAGTAAGCGTTAAATCAATTGTATATCATATATAAAAAATCAGTAAAAATTATTCACTTCGACTCAATTATGCATTCAAAAGATTGGCTGTATTCCAATAAATACTTAAATTTTGCAAATATCTATAAAGTAGAACTATACATAATTTCTTTCTAAATAAAGCTTTCAAAATAATTAACAATTTAAATTAAACATAACTTTATTTTAAGTAAAGTGATAGATATTCATAAACGCACAATATATAAGGAACAAAAGCAAATTTTACTTATCACTTTTTAAAACCAATTAACAAAATAATAACTGCTTCTACAAATATTAAAAATTATTTAATCAACTTCCGATTGGGCTTAACAAAATTAGTACTTTATGAATATTTAAAATTCTTTTTTATTTGATTGTAGTTGACGGAAGATATAAAATGTGAATTGATTGAGAGTGAATTATAATATTGAAATATTTTTAAAATTTATTGATAAAATATTAAATTCAATATTTTGTTTGGCATATTTTATCTTAATTATATAATTAACTAAAAACAATATTTGTTCTAAAAAAAACAAGTCACGTAATAGACGGACAAGCATGTTGCACCATTTAACTACAGTTTTCTTTCAATCACTGTCTATAATTTATTTAAAATCCTTAATTATTCAAAAATTTAAATAAAAACTTACAAATCTTTATCAAGGTTTCCGATAAATGTTCCGATAAATGTATCTACACATAAAAACGGTGCAAATAATTAAACCTGTTGCTTTTTTGTTTTTTTTTTTTGTTTTTTTTTCTTATTTTTTTTTTTATGTTCTCTTGATTGTCTTTTATAAATTTAGTTCTTATAATTATTTTTTATTAAATTTTAAAATTATTTACAACACTATTTTATTAATTAAATTTGAATTCTTAATTATTTTAATTTTAATTAAAAAATAAAATCGGAAAAAATTTTTCAGTTTTTAATTTTTTCTGCCGCTCCCATCCACCTCTTTCAATCTCTAAATTTTAACTGAATTAAAAAATTAATACCACATTTTCCAGAAATAACATTTTTCTTTTTTTTTTGCGTTTTGTTTTTATTTTTGTTTGCTTTGCTTTAATATAGACTTCTCCAAGTTATTGATAAAAAAAATGATAATTGATGAATGATTGCGAAAGGTGGTGAATATTTTTACCTTATTTAATATGCATACATACACAGTATACTTCTCATAATATGAGAGAAAACGCTCAATCAGATACAATAGTGGTGAATTATGCGACGCGAATAACTTTAATTCTATTAAACAATAATACTTCAATAAACCCGACTATTCTTAATATAATATTCGTTAAAGATATTGTTTAAAAGTCTGAGTGTGATGTATTGTATCGTCAGTTCCAAGTTGTTAATGAAATTTTATACATTATACTTTAACTCTGTTAACTGGTTCTTTGTGTTCGTATTGTATAAGTATCTGTATCGTATAGTTATTTGTAAATCGTAATTTAAGTATATTGTTGAGCATGCTCATAAAAATTTCAACACATACATATCGAATTATACACCAGTATTTTAGAACACTCAAAACAAAAAAAAAAATACTATACAGGGTTACCATTTTGATTTTAATAGAAAAGAGTACAAAATGAAATTATTTTCAACAAAATTGTGAAGAAATTTTGTTTTATTAAAAGCAACATTATTTATAAATTAAATTCATTAATTGTGTCTTATGTTATTGATCGATATTGAAAATATACAAAAAGATATAAGTTTTAAGAGTTGTGAATACGAAGACCTTAATGGAATTTTGTATAGAAATAGCAAAAAAACAAACACACACACGCAATAATAATATTAAAATGCATAATAATAAATCCATCCCAAAATAAAATCAACTATAAAATATCAAATTATTTGCTTTTAATCGTTTATATAAAAAATTTAACACAATGTATAACAGTTATTTATTATACAAAATTTAAAGGCAGATGGTTGAAGGAAATTAGAAGGCAGATGGTCACCTTGCTGAGGACAATAATTTGAATCTAATATCGTATTTTGCTTTAAAAAATGACATGACAATACTGTCTTCAATACTGAAAAGAACGAAAAGAAGAAATAAATAAAAAAAAATTATTGAATCACGCACGCGCGAAAGAGATTCTTTATTTTATAAATGTATTGTATAAATTCTCTAATCTCTTTTAGATGTTTGCGCACATGGTTGCCATATCACTTATGAAAAAATTAATGGGTCAATTTTTCAAAAAAAAGGCCAAATTTAAGCCAAAAGGGTGAAAATAAATAATGTGCTTAATTTTTGAAGCAGAACATTTATTTGTTGTCTAATTTGAAATTTTATTCAAATTCCAAGTTTACATTAAGAAAACTTATTTCAAATTTCCAAATTTTACATTAAGTTGCGTTATTGATCTGTTGTACGATATGAATAAAATTTGAAGTAAAATCTTTACCTAACATACCAGTATTAACAAAAATACTGACATAATCAGATCTTGTCAGATTTTTATAATCAAATTGTATATGAAAAACTTTTGGAAAAGAGAAAACATCAAGTTTCCTTTAAGATTTAGAAAATGGGACAAATACGACCAATTATGAAAAAAATGAACCGTAGCGCCAAAATGATTTTAAACAAGAAAAATGAACCAAATTGGCAACATTGGTATATGTACTGTGCAGAAATGTACAAGCGTGAATCCTCGACTTTAAAAGAGAGGAACAGTTCATAGCTGACGAATTTTTACGCATTCTTATGAAAGCTATAGAGGGCGCTTTTTAACTTCATAAATCTGCAAGATCAAATTTTTGGTTAGAAAAAGTTAAAATTCGATAACAATTACAAAATTAAATTCAAACCTAAAATCTAATAAAATTTTGAAATTGTATTTTCATTTTTCGCTCTAAGTTCTATCAAATTTGTTTCCGAACGTGGATATTCAAAGTAAAATGCGGAAATTAAAATTATAGTTAAAATTTTGGGTTGAAATTTGAATTATTTGATATGTTAGCTTAGAAAACGTCAAATTTCATTTTTATAAAAAATTTTTAGTTAATTTTTTTCATAGAAAGCTCGAAATGAAAAATTGCTCAAAAATACATTCGTAATTAATTTAACACATTCATTCACAAAAAAAAAAGAGTACAGGCTTTGATATTTTTGTTATGTTAAGTTACGCACACATACATATTTATATGTACCACGTGCATTTTATTTTTATGCTTTTATCAAAATGCATCGAACATGCAACAAGTATAAGATCTTATAATTTTATCAAAGTTTCACATGTTTTCTCGATTAAGTAAGAATAAAAACTGTAAAATACAAAAACACTATTTTTATGTGTTTGTGTTTCGGCACTTCTATGTTTAAGATTTTCTCTTTTGCCCCTCAATTTGATATATACAAAAA